GAATTTCTAGATTTCTACTGTTCCGTGTCAGCGTCAGCGCTCTTCTATAGGGTATGTTTTCTTTGGGAATCGTAGGAAACTTCAGGCCGATATAACAGAAGATATAAATCAAAAGCATGTACAATTTGATTCAAATAGATATTTTTTAACATAACCTCAAAATAGAGTGCTGCCACGGAACAGTAAAAAAACTATTGAAATCAAGGAGGTCATAAAGGCGTACTACAATTTATTGTAGGAACGACTGACGATATGGCCCTAAGGCCCGTACCATCAGTCGTCCCTACAATTGTAGGGAGCGTTTATGGCCTCCTTGATTGTCATACTCCTTTCTCTCCTTCAAAAATTTCTAGATTACATTTGTCCCGTGTCAGCGTCAGTGCTCTCCTATTATGAAGATATGTTTTCTTTTTAAATTGTAGGAAATTTCAGGCTGATAAAACATGAAATTTGATGCAAATAGATGTTTGTGACATAACCTCAAAATAGAGTTCTGACACGGAGAAGTAGAAAACTATGACAGTCAAGGAGGCCATAAAGGCGTACTACAATAAATTGTAGGAACGACTGACGATATGGCCCTAAGAAAACTAAAAATATGTAGTGACCAAACTAGCTACGGGATAATGACAATTGTCAAACTGCTCCGTCAGCAAGAGACAAAACCATTGATGTGGAATATCGACTTTTGACTGGTTATAATAGCGTTTTACTTCTTCACTTGGATAAAATCATTATAGTTATCGATTATGTAAGCTAATTCGTTGATATTTCATATGTGTGGGTAACAGAAACACCATGATGGCAGTCAATAGGTCAATTAGCACATGACATCTTAGCTACGTAGCAACTTTCAGTCAATTAGCTGTTTTATAAGTATAGCTTTGCACTTCTAATGATATTTGCTGAATCTATTACATTTGTATAAATTTAAAATTATGCATCCAAAAACAACAACATATCAAATCGTTTTAATTTGTCAAGCATTGTTAGCTAGTCTTTCGATTGTGGTGCCAAACAGATCTGAAATTTCTTTCCACTAATGATAATCGGTCATCCGGTTAAAGTCGTCTGCGTACGGTCATGGAAAAGAGAGATTCTAAATTAGAATGGGTTCGGCGATATTTCAAGATGGCAAACGGGGCCATTTTGTGGATTTAATTACATTATTGAAGTGTCATGTACTACGTTTTTGATAAATGCCACTGAGCCACGGCGAAGGGCTGCAGATGCTTCATTTCAGTGGCGTATGTATTAAGTTTTCCTTAGAGGAATTACAGTCGAAATGATTTAACATTTTCGGTTGAAACTCAACGTATATATAATGGTTTACAAAACGAAAATGAGAAATTCTGTTTAAAAACTGCAATTTGCGAGATTTTTTTTTGGAACAAACACATTGTTGCAATTTGAGAAATAGTAACTTTGAAAAGTTGATTGATGTCATTTAGTACCCGGAAAAATCTAAAAATGATATAGAGATTGTTAGTTTAATGAGTTTAAGGGCTAATGCTTATGTATCGATGAGCATATCAAGTATCGAATCATTCGACGGAAGCCGTAGCCTATACACAATAAAAAGAGATCTTGAGTGCAACGTGCACAAATTCTGTTAAAATTATGAACTTGATTCATTGGAATGAAGGAAACAGGATTCCTTCAGTTGATGAACATACTTTGGTGTAACCTGTCATCCTAAAGCTGACGTTGAATGTCTATACATCGCATGACGTGATTGTGGACGGGGGTTTGTTTTCTTTTCCAGGAACCCGATCAATCATTCCGATGGCACTGCAACCTCTTGGGCTTCTTTCACCTCGGATTTACAGTACCCAATCCAGTGGTGCAGTTTCCCTGACGGTACATAAGACATGTAAGGCCGATTTCGTACCTTTTCCGCATAATCTGCAGCTGACGTCTCCAATAAACAGCCTTATTTTACGCAGGTATTTCTTTAGTCAATTGTGCTCTGCTGGAACACCAATATCCCTTGTACTGTTTTTTTACCCATGGATGAGGGTTAATTAAGCTAGAATTTTCCTATCGTCTAGCAATTCTGGATCTACATGAATACGTGACCTCAGAGAGACAAGTATGTGAACATGTTAAAAATCCACGACGCCCAGAAAGGAAACTACTCACTTAAAAAAATAGCGTCGAGTACATTGACTCTATACTTCCTAAGGTTGACTATGCAGTTTCGACTATGCTGTCAATGGTTTATACTAAGTTCCCCTCTTAGAGAAAAGTGGTGTCAAGTTGATTGAAATTGAAAGTTTCATAAGTATGTTGGTGAAAATGTGCAAAATTGGCCTTTGTATCGGGTCAATTCTGGATATCAGGGAGGAGAAAAACTGATTCAATGTGATTCAGTGTGGTTTCTTTACCTTTCGGGGAACTGTAATCTACCAGTTGTTCTCAGTAGAGAAACTGCGGAAGTCTTGCTGTCGTCCATCAATCTGATCTCTAACGGAGAAGTTAACTTTGTGGTGGAACGTATAATCAAATGAAGAAGCCAGAGAAGAGAATCACGCGAAATTTCTCTCAGCGATTCTACTCCTTCGTCTTCAAAGATAGTGGTTCTGTTATGAGAATAATGGAATAATATTTCTGAGAACAAGTAATATGTGGACCACAGACCATGGATAGCTGTTTCGTGCTATTTGGCAGCTCTTCAGCATGATCGAGGCTTGGTCTCAGGTAGAACCACGGTAGGACAATGAAGCTACATACGATATTCGATGAGTTTTTTCTTGATAATGTACGAGTATCTCGGGGACCGAGGTATATTGCTTGCTCTGAAGTCAGCTCTCTACGTATGACTGTGCAAGCGTATATTGATGGATGTGAGGTTTCTTCCTATAACAGATATGTGAGGCGTTTTAAAATAGTACAATAATTTTTATAATAATACTACTCAAACACATTACTTATTCGTGATAAGTAAAATACAGATATTCCATTTTCCTTAAAAAAACGCCTTCGTGAAAATCGTTCAATTTTAATGGAAATATGGCGTGTTATCTTGATGCATTAAACATTGGGATTATAATGAAACCCAACGATTTTACTGCTTTTATATTTAATAAACGGATTGAACAAAGGAAATCAGACTTTAATATAAATGTGCCGCTAGGTTTCTACCAAAAAGCCTTTTTATAGCCCATCACGTTACCACGAGTATGTTCGAGGAATTCCATTTAATTGCCTCTTAATTGTTTCGTAAGGGTACATGTGGTGTGATGTGCAGTTAACTGACACGATGAAACCAATGATGAAACACTAGTTTAAAGAAAACAGGCCAAGTTCCTGTCGTCCATTCTGCATTAAGAATAATACACCGCGGAGGGAAAGTACCAAAGTACTGCGACCACTATAAAGGGGTTAAATATATTTCGTTGATCCGGCTTCTAGGCTATTAGAGTTATTTAGAAGCATATTGGAATATTGCTAGAAGAGATCCATATGATAGATGGGTTGACTTGGACCTTGTACAGAGTGAGCAGGTCATATGATGAACAATACTTATTAGTTCAGACATGCCCGCTACCTCCAAAAAATGCCGTAACAGGCAAGCCGATTTCGTGCCAAATAGTATTCTCGCTGATTTGAACTCCGACAAGTCCTCGGACAAGTCTAAACTATCGAAACCAGCCGACCGCTTCGGCTCATGTTCATACGGAATTTTTGCATTTTTGTCCAAAACACGCACATTTTCGAATATTTAACTCAAGTAGTTTTATACAGGGTGGCCAATATATAACTGACTGATTTAAATTGCGCGCCACTTTCGCTAAACGCATTTCAGTAGGTGGCGGTGTAGTAGTTGTTTAAAGCACATGTGCCCAATTCATCATGGAGCGCTACACGATCCCACAACGCGTCCGTATTGTTAACCCCTTACCGCATACTGTCTCAAATTTGGCACACGTGAAAGATATGTTATTTTTCAAGTCCCCCAACAGCTAAAGACCTTAACCTAAACTGTTCCATATCTGGCACGCTCGCTTCTCTATCGCCAAGAAACATTGTCGCCCTCTAGCACGTATTTTATGAATTGCGTCAGATTTCGTTTAGCGGCTCGTAAGCACGTGTTACTACATTCGCTTATAAAGTTGTGACGGCCATAAAACGTTCAAAAATCAAATTTTTGGTGCAACTAAAATTATCTACGTTCTGGTAAGTATTTCTTATTGACTTTTGTAAAATTATGTCCTTCAACTCATACACATGTTGATTTATCGTCATTTGTTTTCTTGTGCCATAATCGGAACAACTTGCAGTAAAAGAAAAGCTGACTATATTATTGCCCCTTTTTTCAGATGGATGCAAAACGATTTTATGGAGCTAAAACTGTTGGAATTCCGAACTTGAGTGGCAGTGAAGATGAAAATTTGTCAGATGATGATTTTTACCGTAAAACATTTTCTCAAGTGCTGTTGGAAGATACCAGTGAAGAAGAACAGCTTGATAGAGAGATGGTCGAAGATATTGTGATTGAAGAAAGTGATTTTTCCTATAGTGAAGACGATGTTCCCCTTTCAACTCTCATTGCAGCAAACAAGACAGAGAAAAAAAACAAGGTTTGTGTTGATTGGGAAGATAAACAGATAAACAGTTGAGGGTATCCAATGTAAGTCTAAAAAGCCACCAAATATAACTAAAGAAGAGATAAATATTTTCATTGGAATTTGCATATACATGTCTGTAGCGCACCTGCCATCCACTAGAAGCTATTGGAGTAGTACACTGAGAGTTACTGCAATAACCGAAGCTATGACATGTAACAGATTTGAAGAAATAAAACGTTTTATTCACTTCAATGATAATACGAAGCAACAAAATCGCGATGAACCTGGTTACGATAAGCTGTTCAACATTCGTCCTTTTTTAGAAAAAGTACGAGAGAGGTACCTACTTGTCCCAAAAGAAGAGCATCTTGCAGTTGACGAACAAATTATACCAACAAAAGCTCGATCTACCCTAAAGCAATATAACCCAAAAAACCTCATAAATGGGGCTATAAAGTTTTCATACTAAGCGGAGTATCAGGCTTCAGTTATGATTTCGACTTCTTTTCTGGGCCAACTAAGTTGCAGCCTTATCAACCAGATCTTGGGGCAAGTAGTAATGTGGTAGTGAAACTTACAGAGTCAGTTCCAAGGAATCAAAATTACAAGTTTTTTTTGATAACTGGTCCACCGGCCTTCCGTTACTGGTTTATCTCAGCAAAGAGGGCATTTTGCCTCTTGGTACTGTCCGCAAAAATCGTGTGCCAGATTGCGAATTTCCTAAGGAATCTGTGATGAAGAAAAAAGGTAGAGGTACAATTATGGAGAGAGTTGCTCGAGTCGATGGCGTAGATGTTTCAGTAGTTTCCTGGTATGATAACAAAATAGTTACCACAGTATCAACTTACATAGGCAGTCGGCCCATTTCCGAAGTACAGAGATTTTGCAGAAAGGAAAGAAAGCACACTGTAACACCTCGTCCAAAGAGTATAGAAATATACAACAACTATATGGGAGGTGTTGATCTACTTGACTCGATGTTAGGATACCATAGGATACTTATAAGGTCAAAAAAATTTTACCTAAGAATATTTTTCCATTTCCTCGACATGTTGTACTGTAATAGTTGGATATTGTGTAGAAGAGCTCTCACTGAGAACAATTCTGATGACTATTTGCCACTGGCTGAATTCAAACTTGGTTTAGCAGAAATTCTAACAAGATCCCACGTAACTTCAAAAAAGCGAGGTAGACCCAATAGCTCACTACAGCCTCAACTGGATTTAAAAAAAAAAGAAATATCCTTTTGCGGAAATATCAGCCCAAGAAATTCGTCGCTACAATATGGGGCATCTTCCTGGGTGGCATGAAGATCGCCAAAGATGTAAATTTCCTGAGTGTAAGGGGAAAACACAAGTTTGGTGTGATAAATGTAATGTTAAATTATGTTTGAACAAAGACCGTAATTGTTTTTGCCGTTTTCATCTGGAGTAAATAAATGTTTATTCAAAATTACATTTAGTTTAGGTGTTTTCCCATGTATTTTTAACGATTTATAACATATATGGTTTCACTAAATTTTTCCGTTGCTATTCAACTATTGCAATTTGTGTCAAATTTGGCACATGTCGAAAAAAAGCATCAATAATTTTTTTATATTATTTCTAGTTACTTTTCTAATATGAACTAGCACATATATTTATTCTAACAAAAACAAAAAATCATGCAGTAAGGGGTTAAAACGTTTTACTTAAATAATGAGTCGATGGTTGCAACGATTTGGAAGCAACTGCAAGATTTTGGTTGAAATAATGTGCCTAGTGTGAACAACATTTGTCAGCTGGTGCGTAAATATCGAGAGAGATCGTAAAAGTGTAGTGGAGCGTCTCGAGACGTCTACCAGACATCGTTCTTAAGAACTGGATATTCATCGCACGTCATTATTATGCACTATTTTCGAAATAGACTTGCATTTGCAGACATACAAAATACATTTAACCCAAGAGCTACAGCCCAGTGACCATGAAAGTCGCCCATAATTCAGTCATGCAATATTGCAGTTTAATACCCAAAATAACGATTGTTACCGGCATCTGATAATGAGCGATGAAGCCCACTTAGAGATGAACGGATTTGTTAATAAGCAGCATTGTCGTATCTGGGCATTAGAGAACCCCCGTGTCATCCGTCAACGACCATTACATCCTCGTCGAGTCACAGTTTGGTGAGGTGTTTGGTATGGAGGTGCCATTGGACCTTACTTCTTTGAAGACGCTGCAGGTAATTCTCTTACTGTCACTGGCGAGCGCTAACGTGATATGGTGCAGAACTTTCTGGCTCCTCAAATCCAACAATTTAAGTTGCAGCAGAACATGTGGTTCCAGCAGGTCGGATCATCTTGTCACACAGCTAGTGAAACAATGAATCTTTTGCGAACAATATTTCCGGGTCGATTTGGCGTTGTCAACTGGCCACCAAGGTCACCGGACTTAATAGCTACTGATTTCTTTTATAGGGATTTTTGAAAAATAGGGTTTATGCCAACAAACTAAATACTGTAGAGCAGCTGAAGAATAAGAATACGGAAGCGATTGAAGATATTCCTCCCGAAACCTACCAAAAAGTGATGGAAAATGTAATTGAGAGGACTCAGGTTTGCGTGGCTTCATTTGTCTGATACTATTTTGCATACATAATTTCTAAGTTTCAATAAAAGAGTAAGATGTAAAAAATGGACGTATTCTATTTAATTTCACAAATATTCAAGATGCAATCGAGTCAGTTACATATCGGCCACTCTGTATAAGCGCATGGTCGCAACCGTTATCTTTTATTATCATGCGTCATTAATCTGCAAAGAATCAGTGGTCTAGCCAAATCCGAACTTTCAGGAACACCCTCGTTGGTACTGTAAGATGAAGCGAAAAACCCATCAATTTCCACTGGATAGTCTGTAAAAACGATTATGTATAATAACGTCAGTTACGAGGACCATTTAAAAAAAACCGACAGTTCAACTTTAAGCACTCCCTAAAAATGTAATAAAAGTCCTACAGACATTAAGTTTAAACCTGATTTTCAATAGTAGGTGTAAATTGAAAAATAATGAAGAACGGTCGATTTTTGTGGAGTTGAATAAGAAAGTATTTTGCGAGTTTATGTGTTTAGTTATTTATTAATAAAAATGGTAGAGAGAATAAGCACAAGGCAGTTAGCCCCACAGGTCCCAGAAGTGTCACATGCAACAGCGTGGCGTATATTACATGAGGTCCTTATCACGTCCAGAGAGTCCAGGTATTGCTACCTACAGACTACCGCCTAAAAGTCAGATTTTGTGAGTGGTTGTTGCAAGAAAATGCTCGAAATGCCCGTTTTACAGGTGATATTTTGGCCGATGAAGCTATTTTTTATTACTAATGGAATAACCAATCTTCATAATACACACGTCTTTGAAAATCCTCACGCAGTGGTCCAGACACACTTCCAACATAGTTTTTCTCTAAAATTGAGGGCAGGTATTGTCGATGAACGTCTAATTGCACCGGTCAGTAGTTGGAATTTCTTCGGAATGATTTGCCGGTCCTTCTTGAATTTATGCCATTGGCGGTCCGAGCACGGATGTGGTTTCTGCACGAGGGGGTACCTCCGCATTTTCGTTTAGAAGTTCGTGATTTTTTGAATGAGGTATACCAGATACCCTGAATCGGAAGATGTGGACCAATAGCATGGCCTCCACGGTCACCCGATCTAAATTCTCTGGACTTCTTTTTATGGGATACTTGAAAAACGAGGTATACCGTGCTCCAGTTCAGAATATTGAAGAATTGCGTGACCAAATTACAGTGGCTGCCGATAATTTGAGCCTTCAGGCACAACAGCAAGGAGGTGGATTTGAATTAGTGCGCCGATGTTGAATTAGACGCGTCCAAATGTGCATTGCAGTGAGTGAGTGAGCTTTTAAGCTGTATTATATTAAGTGACATATAAATCCGAACACCCAGTTTAAATGGTTTTATTTTAATAAAAGTCGGTGAATGTATTTATCTTACTGTAAATAACAAGTGAAAAATTTTTCAGCCTTATCAGTTGGATATTCCGGTTTTTATACTGCTTTTCTTTAATTCACTAACGCTCTAAAAATGAATATTTCAGCCGCAGTAAAGAATCAACGTTGGCGAATTTTGGTTCTTGACATCCTTTACGATTAGTTACGATGCCTAGAGTACGGAGACCTGTACGATTTCGTCAACTTAGTGAGTTTGATAGGGGCCGTATAGTGGGACTTCGGGAAGCTGGACTTTCTTTTCGGGCAAGTGCAGTTAGAGTGCAAAGAAGTGTAGACACTGTGGTTAGGTGTTGTCAGGCATGGCTTCGAGAAGGCCGTACGCAAAGAGCAAGGGGCACTGGACGCCGCCGTAGAACAACATACCGTGAAGATCGCCGCCTAAGATTAATGGCCTTAAGGGACCGTTTCTCCACTACCAGGTCCATTGCAAATGAATGGTTTGCAGAACACGGAAGACCTATTGGCATGCGAAGTGTTTACCGACGAATGAGAAGTTTCGGCTTGTTTTCATACCCTCCACACTGGGTCCTCCCTTTGACTCGAGAACACCGTCGTAATCGCCTTGAGTGGTGCAGACAACGGTCACTCTAGGATCAGGAATGGAACAGTATTGTCTTTAGTGACGAGTCTCGATTTTGTTTAGGCATGCACGATGGTCGTGCCAGGGTTAGAAGGCGACGCGGTGAAAGGAGGAATCCACAGTTTTTTGTTGAAAGACATGTTCATCACACTGTTGGAGTTATGGTTTGGGGTGCTATAGCTTATGGTTCCAGGTCACCTTTAATCTTCATCAGAGGTAACATGAACGCGCAGCGTTATATCCACAAAGTTCTAGAACCCCATCTTTTACCCTATCTTGACACCCTGGCAGATCCAACTTTTCAACAAGATAATGCCCGACCACATGTTGCAAGAGTCACAATAGACTTCTTTCAACATAATGATGTCACATTGTTACCATGGCCACCAAGATCTCCCGACTTATCCCCAATTGAGCACGTGTGGGATATGATGGGTAGGAGATTGCTCAATTTGCAACGTCCCCCTCAGACTCTAGAAGCAGTTCGAGAGGAGTTGGTGGTTGCCTGGAATGAGATACCACAGGAGGACATTCACCACCTGATCAGAAGCATGCCTAGGCGCGTTGGAGAATGCGTAGCACATCAGGGTGCATCCACACATTATTAAAGGTCAAAGGGCTTTAAAGCAGTGCAATCATTTTGAAATTTTTATCATTTACTTATTATGCTTCATTAAGTACTTATACAAAATTTTATTAAAATAAAACCATTTAAACTGAGTGTTCGGATTTATATGTCACTTAGTATATTTTATTATCTCGATTCCTGTAGCACTTTTATTAAATTTTTTTGGGAGAAATCAACTTCTTTCGTAACAGTGCATATGTGGTTAAAATTTGTCGGATCACTTGTGAAACACACTGTAGAGGCGTCGTTCCTGCATCACGGCAATGCGCGAGAAAATGTTCATACTTTAGTTTTTGATACAATTTACGTTCATAAATAAAGTTGACTGCATTAGAAAATAGCTTTTACTTGAAGAATGGTCCTCGTACGACGTTTTACGTTATGTCTATAGTGATATGTATCGATAATAATTTTCATGTTCCGACACGCAATGATGAAAAAGTCTAGCATGTAGACCCACAGCCATTAGACAGCAACACAATTCCAGTGCATGCTGGATACTCAACCGACGCGTCTACATATCAGCAATTATCTCGAGTTAGCCATTTCCCCATACATGTACCTCAGCAAACAAGACCAAGTCCATCGCAGCAGACTAATGTGTTCCGTTGGGAACTGGAATTGTTTAAGTGTACAAAAAGAACACAGAGAACAGAGAAGCCTGCAACAGTCCCCGTTGGCGCCAACTGAACTAATTTGTGGTGCTAACAAGCCCCCCTTGGACATGTACAAGTTTAATTTTCTAAGTAAATATTAATGGAATTAGTAAACAAGGCACACTTGTTCATTTGAATGCTGCTTCTCGCTACGTTACTGCCGAGCCAGTTAAAGAGGTTTTTATTCGTTTCACGCGAAAGATGGATCATTGCGAATATGGCTGAACATTAGAAAAAATGGGTTGTAAGAACGAAGCATCCCATAATAGTATACGGTTAGGGCATGGATGCAGTTTGTTGTGCTACGAGATGTTTCTTTTGTTCTAAAGAGAAAGAGGGTAAGGCGATTATAAGGGTTCCCATCCCCTGAGAATCCAGTTGGCATCTGTAACTTGCATATTTAGCATGGTTTTTTGTACGAAACTTAGGATTTTTACAGGATTTGCCCCTCAAAAAAAAATCCACCGCCGCTCTTAAAATCCTGTCTCAAAGATACGGTCT